AGAACCACCTTCCCTCCACCTGGCCCGGGGCAGCCGCCAGCTTCCAGGCCAGGGAGTTGCCCAAGTGGGGAGCCCCCTCCCCCGCCCCCAGCTTTGCAACGGGCCGTTCCAGGACGTGGGTGGAAGAGAAGTGCACAGGCACTCCCCACGCTTGGTTTTGAAATAAAATCTTGAGCAATAAAAGGTTTCACACGGGCTTGGGCACGAGCCCAGGGGTCAGGCAGCGGCCAGCTCCAGCCAGGACCGTGCAGGCTGGGCGCCCTATGCTCACCCTCTCCTGGGCCAGCAGCCCCCCCCATAGGGTCCCTGCCTCCCCAGGGGTCTCCCCACAGGGTCCCCTCCTCTCCATCCCCACCAGGGGCAGCCACGCAGGACAGCTGCTGTTGGAACCTCAGTGGCAGCCTCACCCCAGGGGGTGTGAGGGACCCTGACCTCAGTCAGACTAGGGGCTTTGAGCCAGGGGTACAGGTGGCCCTGACACCAGGATGGTCCCCCGGCCTGGGCTCCCTGCTCCTGGGTGGCCGGTGCTGTTCTCGGTGTGAGCACGGCCCCCACCCCTGCACGGGACCCGCGTACCTGCGCTCATGGCTTACGCACCACGCCTGGTGCCCGCAGCCTGGCTTCCACACGGGCACCGTCCGGCTGAAGGCCCGCACACAGGGCTGGTGGCGGCCCACCAGGGTCAGCTCCTGCTCGGCACATACGTGGGGCCTGCGACAGAGGACAGTCGGTCAGCGCCCTGGCCACCCACAGCTGGTGGGCACTGACCCTGCTGCATACCCACCCTCGGGCGCCCAGCCAGACACAGCGGGCTCCAGACCCCAGGCCCGGCCCCACACAGGTGCCCAGCTCTGTGCCCACCCAGGCCCCACACAGGTGTCCAGCTTGAGGGGAAAGGAACAATGACCGCAGGGCCCTGTCTGAGCACCGCCACCCCCAGGCTACACTGTCCACATCGCCCCAATCCTGCCAAGGCCTCAAAACATGGACATCACTGGTCTCCCGAACTGGGGTCAGCAGGAACAGCGACAACGTTGACTTTGTCCGTCTGACTCAACCTTAGGTTCCCTCCAGCCCAGCCATCCCGTCCCCAGAGCCGGTCACACCGGGCAGGCGGCTGAGCACGCGCGGCATGGACAAGAGCAGAGCAGCAGGGAGCAGGGTATGAGGGCTCCCAGGGCAGGGGTGTGGCCAGCTTCCAGTGACCACTGTCTCCTGCAGTTGGTGGCTTCCCAGAACCCTGACTGTTAGGACAACGAAGGCGCCTGCTCAGGACGGAGGTGGGGTTGACTGAGATGGGGACACCCGCCTGCTCCAAAGGGGATGGGACCGGGTCCCGGAGAGGGGCCAAGCAGGGTGCCCTGACTCAGAGACAGGCACGGTCCCCACCGGGGCAGATTTGGGGAGAGACCGCAAGGCCATGCTGCTCTTTGAAGCTCGCAAAGCCAGTGGGCTCCAGGGGCCTCCTGCGTACAGCCAAGCTCTGGGCTCACCCCAGGAGGAGGCTGCGATCCAAACTGGGGAACCACAGGCCAGCAACCAGGCACAGCGCCCCTGCCAACTCCCACCTGAGTCCCCCGCCCTCCTGACCTACAGCCATCTGGCCACATCACCACCCTCCCACCCCACAGCCTGTCTGCTGGCTGCCCTGCCCTCCCGGGGGCAGCCCTTGGAGACTCTGGCCCACCCTGTCCAGCTGTCCTGACCCAAGGCCAGCCTTGCACGCTCACACACACACATAAATACACATGCATTCACAAGCACAAGCACACGTGCACACACATGCATGGGCCCTCACATCCTTGCCCTCTGGCTCCAAGTAGGTTTGGCCAAGGGGAGAACCAGCAGGATCCTAAAGGGCAAGGGGGGATCGCAGGGAAGAAAAACAGTGGGGTACTTGTCTTTCCTCCATCCCTTCCTGCTGGGCAGTTTGGGGGGGGCTGTGACCCTCACCTCGGGCCCCAGCACCCTTGGGCACCTGCCTCCAGCTATGGCTCTCTCTAGGTTCCAGGTAACAGGCCTTCTGTGCCCTTCACCCCAGGGGTAGAATTGCCTCCCCCATGGTTGGCATACCGGGCGGTGCCCCTCACCCTGCCCTGTGCCCGGACAACACCAGCAGCCTCTCCTGGGAACTGGTCAGAAATGCAAATCTTGGGCCCCAACCAGACCCGCAGAACCAGAAGCTGGGCATTCGGGGCACTCAGATGTAAACTCGTGTTTGAGAACCGCTGGCCCAGTGCCCCGAGGACTGTGTTTGGGTCTCAGCCCCCATTCCCACGGGCACCGACCTTCCCTGTGCCTGGCCCCGCCGCCGCCGGGAGGGCGAGGACCCAGCCCTGGCCGTGCCCGGGCTGTGAGGGAGAAACAAGCCAGCACAGAGACGGCTCCGGGCAGTGCTGTGGGTGCAGCTGGTGGCACTGTCAGGCTGGGCACCCACAGCGGGAGGGGCCCGGGCACCACAGAGCCACCTGTGCAACTACAATCACCCGAATGAGCCACTGCAGGTGTGGCATCGTTTCTGCTCCCAATGCCTGTGCCCACACCTGTGCCTGGCAACAGGTACCAACTCCCAGCTTCCCTGGGGAACAGCGGGAGGGGGGAGAGGACCACAGGGGCGGGGCTTAGCCCCCCCAGCTTCCTGCTGCAGCCCAGCCCTGACCCAGAAGGGCCCCGTGCTGTGGACACCTGTGAGGGGCTCCAGCATCCTCTGAGGACAGGATGGCATGAGGAGGGTGGTTACGAGCGGGAGGCTCGGAACCGACAGCCCAGGCCTGGGGCTGCCACATAGCCTGAGTCGCTGACCCTCCTGAGGGCCTCAAATGAGGCCCGGCACAGGCCCTGCTCAGAGAAAGGCCTGTGTGTCTGGGTCCCAGGGCCCCACATCCCCTGGGCTGTCACCACCGTTCCCTCATGCGGACCCCAGCTCAGCACACAGGATGCCAGCATCGAGGCCTCGGGGAGGTGATGCCACAGAGCACAGGTTCTTCAGCTGAGGGTGGGGGAGTGGGGGGGTGCAGGAGGAGCTGGGGCAGTGGTCTGGCTAGTGGGCCACCCGGAGGGGAAATGCCCCATAGGGGTGGGGCAGGAATCCGGGGGAGCTGGGTGCTGCCCTCTGCAGGGCCTCCCTCCCTTCCTTCCCGGCCCTCCTCAAACCCCAGCCAGTGGGCAGCTACCAGTCAGCGAGATGGTGAGCCAACGGCCGCACAGCCGCCCTTCCGGCACATCCACCCTGGTCACTCTCCATCCC